AAGAAAGGTAGAAATTGTCTAGTAGCAGGTATCTAAAAAAAAAAAAAAGATGTACTGTCTCACACAGATTTCACTGTGAAGAACATTTTAAGAATCATTAAGGTAAATGAACTAATGAGAAAAGTGCTCATATCTTACTAGAATCTGAGGAAACATTTTAAGCACGTTCAAGGCAGAGAATCGCCTCAGTCTTCAGCATAATTTAAATCTTTATCCTTGAAGTAATGTCACTTGAGAAGCTCCATTTATTCAATACTGATGACTTTTAATAACACATTCTATAGAAGCTTGTCACTGCTGAGCTTCGACTTGTCGGGTTTTATCCTTGGAGAGCTGGAGTGAGTGAAAGAGGTAACATATCCCTTATGATCTAGTTCAGTATCACTTATCTGTTCTTTATGGCCTAATTAGAAGTCTAATCGCCTCCTAAGGACATCCTTTATTATTCTCATCAGAGCTGTGCAGACGGCAAGACGCGGTGTGAGTGAGGGGAAGTGTACTTTTGTTACACTGCCAGCTTTGTCCTCGTGTTTTGTTCTGCGCTCGTGTCTGCAGGTGTTTTATTGTAGCTTTCCTTTTGTTTACATCTGAGGATAGGCTGTTCTTTTTTCACAGTGCTGATTGCACCATTTATAACTAAAAAGATTTTGCATGTCAGTTGTTTGTAACTGGACAGCTGTTTGTATACCTGCTGAATAAACATTATCCTTTGGTGATTGCTGTCATTTCTACTTTTTGGGGAGTATTAATTTTTTGCATCTCTAAACAGAAAGTATCAGTAATTTGCCTCAGGCTCTAGTCAGGAAGCAATTTGTTTTTAACAGGTGGGGTGTCTTTTCTTTTTAAAAATGTAATCACTTTTCTGTTGCTAATGGTTATTGTTTCAGGTCAGACAATTTCACTTCCATGAAACTGTTTATTAGGACTGCAGGAAATCACTACTCTGGATAAATACATGTTTTACTGCACCACGTCAAGCCTGCACCTCTATAAAGTATTGTTTAATGCATACCCTGCAGGATAAATTATCACTTTAAATATAAAAAAGGTTTATTAACTTCAAATTACATTTCCTTCTTATTTGATGAGCTTGATTTAATCTGAATTATACTCAGCAAAGCTTCACTTAATTATTTTTTTTATATCAGCTGATTTTTCTCCGCACAATTATTTAATAAAAATTAATTTTCTTACTCTGTTTATGAGGAAAAAGACAGATTCCCTTCGGTTTCCCCAACTTAGAGCGAGGTCAAGAAGTTTTGAGTCTGTTAGGCTACGTTCACACTACAGGCCTTGATGCTCAATTTCGGAAATCTGATTTTTTTTTTTGTGTTGCCGTTCACATTTCCAAATATATGCGACTTGTATGTGATCTCCTGTGTAAACTGCACTCATACAGCAGTGTGAAAAATCAATAAAATTTTACTTGGTCTGTTGTTTTTTGTTTTGTTTTTTCAATTCAAGATCATCTACTTGAAAAGTTATTGCCGCCTCACTCTGTCTGGAATTTTACTATTACACACAACGTATAAAGTTATGAAATGGTTTAGATAAGACCGAAATGTTAAACACTCAAAATAAAAAGACTGTATGATGGTTTATCTTTTCTTCTGATGTCAGTGTTGAGTTTTTTCATTTATTTATTGCAGGTCTAACCATAGATAACAGATGACTGGCTTGAACTTTTATTGTTCGATTACACAAACATTATCATAAAAAGGGGTAAAGTATACGAGACTCCAGAACATGAAATGCTTTTATGATTACTACAAGCTGCAGCAAACACAGACAAACGGCAGAGCTATTATCACGTGTCTCTAATTTATGATGGGCTTGTTAAACTGCTGCTGAGAGTTTGTCCTTACCCAGTCATCTGGAAAAAAAAGACTTCCCTCCTTGTCAAAGTTGCTTAAGTCTTTACACCTGCCTGTTTCTCCACCAGCCAGTGTGTTTACAGTGAGAACTGTCTGTTCGTTAACGTGCACTGAACCATTCCCACCAGCCAGCAAAGACAAGTTCCAGCTGGTTGACATGCTCACTTTGACTTTCGAAGTCCAACAAAGTGCATCTAAAACCTCCCGCTATGAGGTCATGGTTACCACTGTCAGATGCTATTTTCTGCTGAGACCTCAGCAATTTTGCTGCAGAAGAAATATCCGGGCTGTGCAGGTGGAGAAGATAAGTGACAGTACATTTGCCACAGGTCCTAAGGTTGTTCCCGACAAATTTTATCTGAGAATCTTAGCCAGGGAAGTTTACTGGAAGATGTGTTTTATTTATTATCTCTACTATATTTCAATCTGAAAAACTCACATAAAGAGAAAACACAATAAGGAGAAATTTATTGATACAATTACTTTGTCTTTGGCGCTCAGACCTCGGCAGGAAACATAGAGCTTAAGTTTGATAGATATGCATGAACAGGATCAAAGAACAGGGCTGTTTCCCCCCAGGCCTGAAACTGGTGGTTTAGTGGAGATGGATGAAGTTGGTCAGTCTGTAGACTGCTAGTTAGAGAGACGGTATGCTGAGCTTTATGGGGAGATCCAGTGGATTGCGTGAGCTGATACTAGAGCTTCACTCAAGGACCTGGAAGATGGAAGTCCAGTTGAATAACACGGGTTGAGGGAACCTGCCCATGATGAGCAAGCATGAAGTTACAGCGGAGAGGAAGAACTCCCCTGGCAGAACCAGGCTCATCATGGCGGCCTTCTGCTGGACCGGTTAAGATGAGACAGGCAACGCAGTAAGGTCCAGGAGGAATGACACTCTGATGAAGTTTTAGCTACGAAGGTGGAGAAGTGGCTGGAGGTGGGTTGAAACGGTGTCATATGAATTAAGTCACACAGCGCATCCACCGCCTGCGCACAAGAGCAGACAAGTGCGTATCGGAGGCCTTTTAAGATGAACTTTGGATGCTGATTGGCTTTCATGGAGGTGTGGTTCTAAGCTGATTAGCTGTGTCGCTGGTGGATTTAGGAAAGGAATGAGTTTCTTCAGTTGAAGTTCCACCTAGGCTCCATTTATCAAAAAAAAAGGGGGAAAGGGAAGAATAGTCTTGAGTGCTAAATTAAATAACAGTACAACTATCTCTTTTGTTTTCAGGGTTATTTAAAATTTTCGTTAAAGTTACTATACTATTGATCCTTGATAGATGTAAAGATTTCAATGTTTTTCTAAGGGAAACTTGAACTGCTGCGCTTATTTAATGATGGACTTTTTGCAAGTAGATAAAATGATTGGAGAATAAATTAGGAAAAAAAAGAATAAACAGAATCTCAGAAAACAGAAAAGATTCTCTCAAACTTTTATTGATTAAAATCTTTTTGCAACCAAACTGGTAGATGGGCGCTAGGAGCCGCTTTAAAAAAATTCTCGGAAAATTCTGCTTATTGTTCCTCCTGTCTGGTGGACCTGAAACGGTGCTAATGTACATTTATGGAATATTTACATCTCAGGAGTCCAGCTGGCTAGGTTAGCATATCAATGCTTCACGTTGGCTTCTCTTCTCAAAAAAATCACCTGTATAATTAAAGAGGGTGAGATCTGTCACCAAATGTGTCAAGTGGTTCAGAGCACCGCTTTCTGGGAGGCGGAGCTTTGCTTAAAAACAAGAGCTAACTAAGCTAAAAGTAAATGACATAAAACAAACAAACATGACCCTTTTATGATTCGGCATATTTTTTTGCTCTGTGATGTAGGTTTTAAACTAGATTATTTTATTGTGGCTTTGCATTTACAAGTAACACCATGATTTCCAAAGTGGTCTGCTATCAGATTCCAAAACACATAGGGAGACTTCAGTTTTGTGACAGTGCAGAGATGACAGTTGCCTTCAGGGGTGCTAAATCTGGAAGTGTCTGGCCTAGTGGCCAAAAGTTAGATATAGGCTGAATCCCAGGACGGCCCCTAAACACTTCGCCTGAACACCAACCCTCCCTTTTCGCGTTCCCCCGGAGTGTCCGCCACATCAAATGCCATTCCCAAAGAGCGTAATGGGAAGGGCGAGTGGACCATTCATCCCCTAAATATCAAGTCTTCATTAGTGCAGGCTAGCTGGAATTTGGCAGCAGATGTCAAGGCGAAATAGTGGCGGAGGAAACCTGTACATTCAAATGCAAGATCCACTGGTTTGCTGCAACTTCTTCACACTGACAGAAAATCAAATCAGTCAATCCCTAAATGGATGGTCCTCTTTCAAATAGATTTGACTGCATATATTTTTCTTTAAGAAAGGAGGAAATGTTTGATTTCATGTGAACCTGCACCACAGAGCGACAGTTATGCACAGGTGGCAGCACTGTGTTGCCAATGACTGCTTTCCTTTTCTGTCGGAGGGAAGAGGCCGTCCCATTCTCAATTTTTCGTTTGAAAGTACAATCTAGGCGCCTTCCACATCTGGGAGTGTGACTTCATTGGGAGTGACACTCAGTAGTTAAGGGGTAGTGCTTAGGGGGTGGTTTGGGATTCAGCCATTGTCACTTTAAAGGGCAGCTTGGTGTTCAGTCCTGTCCCAAATTGTCTGAAAGACCCAATCTGCTTCACCTGCTGGCCCTGAATGCTTAGTGGCTTGGCATTGTTACCTTTGTCACTTTAGCACAAAAATGTTTTAGTCTTAGTAACATTCAGTTTCATAAAATTGTGATGAAAAATTTGGCCTCCCATTGGTGCAGAGTATTGTAGCTGGTCAAGTAAGCCACATGGGCCATGTTTTCTATGTCTTTATAAAGTGACATTCCTTCCAGCAGGAAATGCTGAATACCCAGAAAAGCAGAACATGAGATTAAATATAACCTTGAGGTAGACATGTATTCAAAACCGGTTTACTGGATTTAAAACCAGGAGAAATTACCTTTTGTAGTTTGGTCTGTAAAATACTTTGAGTCCATAAAATCAGTGATGAGTGAACCTGTAGGTCTAAAAAGTACTGCAAGATTGATGTTTCTTGTTCTTGTAAATTATTAATTTTTTTTGTTTTGTTTTTTTTTTGTTTGATAAAGTGAACCTGCTAGATTCTCGCTCCGTGATGGGAGACCTTGGATGGGTGGCTTATCCAAAGAATGGGGTAAGTCTAAACATTAAAAAAACTAATGATAATAAATAAATAAATAAATAAATAAATAAATAAATATATGTGTGTATGTATGTGTATATGTGTGTATATATGTGTGTATATATGTGTGTATATATAATATTATATAATTTTTATTTTTTTTAACTGTAATATTTACTTTTTTATCTTGGTTCTGTTTAGAAATAGAGGAAAGAGATCTATTTTAGGTTCTCACTGAGCATTTTTTTTTTTTTTCACAAGAACCATGTGGCTCTGAATGAAGTGAAAATTGTGTTTTTATACATTTCAGCATTATCATTTATGCTGCCACTATGTAATTATTATTTTTTTTTTGGGGGGGGGGGGGTTCTAAAAGGGGTTGCTCATCCAGGTTTTCCATTTAATCTCTTGGTATGTCAAAACCTACTCCATACTTCCCACTTCATTATAAAGTTTAAGTGCTTCATTTTCTTTATGGAGATTAAAGGTCATTTAATTTCGAGAAACCCTTACCTCATTATCAGGGTAAATTGAATTCATGAATAAGATATTGAAAGGCCCCATGGAATAGATTATTCTCAAGCCAAAAGTTGAATATCCGTCTCCAAGTATTCCCAAAGTGAAGGCCAATTAGTGCACGACTTGCTAGAGTGGTAAAAACGTAATTCCATACCATATTTTACCACTTAAAAAAAAAGAACGATAGAACATTATAATTTACACTTGAATTTTAATGTTGCCTTAATGGTCTTAAATGTTGAATATTGTTTTGAGCAACATTTTTAATTTTCACATCTGCCTTTGGGTTAACAAGATATCATCCACCACAGACTTTTGAAATTCTCCATTAAATTGGAAGAAAAATTGTCTTTTTTTTTATGTTCATTAGCTATCATTGAAAAATCTGACATAGTTTCTGTCTGTTTTTAAGAAGCAATAACCCACCAGGATGATGGTGCTGACTATTGCGTTTTATCTCCCATGGATATTCAAATCATGGCTCACTTTGAAGCTGCTATTTAGATTGGAAAGATAGAGCTGAAAAAGCAGGCATAGGCGCAATCATAATAAGGAAGTGATTATGTTAAGTTGTGTGTCTGTGTGTGTTTCTTCCACCAGACGTGAATAACTTTGAGGTAGATGGAGGGAAAATAAGAAACAGGAGATATTGAATTCTCTAAATGAAATTCCCATTATCTCTTAACATTTACGTATACTTTAAGATGAATACTAGGTTATTTTCTATCTAATTTATGTTATGAAATAGAAGCACAGTCAGAGTAAAAGAAAGTAGTTTGCATGACAGTGTATAAATGATCCAGCTTTTATTAGCTTTGAAAATATATGACTAACACTGTGTGGAAGGATCCCTAAACAAACCTCAGCCAGCTTGAAAATATTTGAAAATGTAGAATTTAAAGGAGTTGTATTTCTAGCACACCCCACCAACAGAGAAATTATCCCTCTTTGGTGGGTTAAATAGCACATAATTGAAGTTGGCAATTGCAGTTTATCTTCAGTGTTTGCATCCCATCTGTAGCTCACTCCCCCTCCACACACAAATGTCCATATTCACACTTCCAGTCTTGGCTGAATAAGTTGTCGACTACCCAAAACTTTTTATCACTCGAAAGCTACTTTGGAGAGTCTGGCAGCTTTAAACTCTTCCGCTGCTTTGGAGTGATCCTATCACCACTGTTGTAAAAATACATCACCATCTGAGCTCTGCACATGGATCCCTTTGCATGGGATTTATTTGGTTATCTGTCTGATAAGTGTTGCCAAGAGCATAGCAACAACATCAACAACAAAAAATTCAATATGCAAAGAATTTTCAAGGGGACAAAGAGGAATATTTCTGCACCTTTTTTCGGCTGAGGGGTACAGGTGACTGTGATGCACCAGCCTCTGCATTTATTGGCAGTAAAGTGGTTTAATGAATGTAGAAAATAAATAGATGCACAAATATGTATGTATATGCATATACATGTATCATTTAGTTGAGCAATTAAAAAAGTAAATGCTCATTGCGCTTAGATGTGACAAATATGCAATGTGCTAATCTTGTAAAAAAAAAAAAAAACATAATAATAAAACAAAAACCTGCATAAAAGCTATTTAAATCTTATAGTAAATGTGACGGTAGAAAAAAAAATTCCAATGTAGCTTAAAATTAAAAAGAAGCATTCTGTCTTTTATAGAGTAAACTGCATTTTTACATTAAATGAATGTGAACTTAAACTATTAATGATTCAAGAAGGATTTTTTTTTTGTTTTTTGACTGATGAAAAAAGTCTAAAAAAGCCTCAATAATGGGACCATAATGCAAATAGCCCCCTGGAAATGTGATACAGCAATTTGAGGGGTTATGTGAGATGAGCTGAAAGTAGAGAAAATGGCAGTAAAGGGAGAGCTGCCAGACTGTAAAAAAGTGACAGACTGTTTCAGTTGAAGTGTGCAAGCTCAACTTATGGCAAAAAAGTTTTCTCTGACTTTAATAGTTAAAGTTCTTTTTGTAATGTTCAGAAATTATACTTTGCTGCTTTTTTAAGTACAAGTGAAAAAAAATCTAACTTGTCCATTAATTTGACGTCAATAAGGTTTCAATTCTTTATTTTAAGACATATGCGTCCTTAAACTATTTCCAAAATATCCTACATCCATATACTGCATCAGGATAGATTACTTTCAAGAAAGCTTTATCTTTTTTTATACATACAGTAAGATACTGCAGCATATGTTCATTGATCTTGAAGATGTTTTAACATGAAGGAAAAATGAAGATCTATTTTATATTAATCAAAAACAGACTGGGTCTTTTCAGTGTGTTTTACATGCTAATTCAGATTATTTTTACTAACAGCTAACAAAAACACATTTAAAGATATATCTGTGTATCACACTAATTAAACTGAAATGTGGGCTTAATGAAGTTTATAGTGTTTTATTTGAAAAGGTACTTTTTATCTTTTTAAAAAAAATACCTTCTTCTGGAGCTGCATCATAATTCACTGAGTATACATTTATTTAAGTTGGAGTCTCTGATTTTTGTATAAGTTGGCTTGATTCTTAAAATGATAACTAGTATGCGCCTTTTTGGAATTTGTACCACCTTACTAGTAATCATCAGCAATTGTATGCATAATATTAAGTGGGATCTTAATGAGAAAACGAATATCAATAGGCTTCATGTGGAAGGAAAAAAAGCCCACATTTGGAGGCATGTTAAACACTTTAGTGTTGGCTCAGGCCTGCAATACACTATTCTCCCTTTACTTCTATGGCAAGCTATGATTGCCAGTTATTGCAAAAAAATGTATGAAAGGAGGGACTTTTTTGTTGTCAACATGTCTTTTTAGTCGTATTATTTTTACTGTTTTTTGTTCCTACATTGCTTTTAAAGAGGTCACAGATTGGCTTGGCTCTGGCTGTAGTGTAGTGGTTGACACAAGGTGGTTGCTTCTTATTTACTAGATCTTAAGGAATATTAATACCTAGAAATACTAAAAAAATGTCTCAAAGAATACTGTATAAAAAGGATAGATCTAACCATAAAGACTTCAGTTGCTGTCAGTTTCATTCCTTTACAACCCATCAGTGCAGTAAATCCCCAAGCCATTTTACTCCATATCCAAACATCAATAGGTGAGCGTTGATGGGTTTTGTAAAGGCCCTGCAACAAAGCAGACACCAAGAATGTAGTGGTGACAAAAGAAGGCTGATGAAATTGGCTTTGCAGGCTTACTTCATATCAGGTTTGCAATAAAAACAAATACAAACATATGACATCTAGCTGCTGGGAGCATCTAGACTTTCTTTTAAGACTAATTTCAAAGACAAGCTCTATTTAGCAGGTATTTGATAACTTAAATTGAGACCCATGTTTGATAAACAGGTCATCTCAAACTTTCTTAGATGCCATGCTGTTATGTAATGAAGCAATATTTGAACAAATTTGCTTTGGCTCACATTTAATCTTAATATGAGGCTTTGATTTAAACCCCAAATGCTGGAAGGCAGGTTTCAGAACAGTTTATCAAGCTTGGGGGGAAAAAAGGGTTTGTCACAGTTAATGCACAAGAACACATTCAACATTGTTTTTGATTTACATTAACAAAACTACCACATGTATTTTAAGCCCTGTCCTTTACAGGGTTTGTTTGTACTATTAAGCGAAGAATAAGGTACCTACCTGATGTGATTTTGAGAAAATCACCAAATCATTCGGTCTTTGTCCGGTCTTCTGTGCAAAACAAGAAAAGAAGGCAAAAAGTGCTCTAAATTGATGTAATCTGCGTTTTGCTTGACTGAACAGCTAGTCATAAAGGTCCCTTTCATCCAGCGCCTTCACTGATTCAGTTTGCTTAATTGAGCGTAGATGAGGACAGGCAAGCATCAAACATGCTGAGGATACTGTAGAAACCATGCAGAGGCTGGGAGCATGTGCATAATGGGTGCCTCTGCTGAAAAAAGGAAGCTGCTTTTTAACAGCATGCTAACAAAGGTTTATAGAAGATGAAAGATTTTCTTTAAGATTTGCCAGTGTTGTTTTTACTTTTTCAAGTGGTGTAGGTGAAGTATACACCGAGCTCTCAGGATAAGCTGTGCATAGCTTAGCTGTACTTTTCAGTTTTAGCCAGTCTGTTGCACATTGTTTGAATGTCTAACTTTAAGTTGGTCAATATGAGGGGGAAAAAAAACATGTTTGTTTAGAACACATGTTTATTAAGTTGAAACTGTTTTAAATTATCTCATGAGTTTGATTTGGTAGTAAACTGGAAATTGGGCAGTGGTATTTAGGTATGATAACCATTTACAAGAAAAAGGACAAAACAATTATCAGTTACGCCTTCTTTTTTTTTTTTTTTAAAGGTGCATTCAGATTTTTTTTTTTTTTTTCTTTCCCATAGGTACCAGTACAATTTCCTGTCAGGGAAAATGAGCTTTCTTGTATTTTTTTTTTTTAGCCACTATAGGCCCCAATATTCATTTTATTAGACAGTAATTGAGGT